GTCATAATTTGTTTTATGCTGTTATAACAGAAGACCTGATTCTGAGTAATTTGTAAAAAACAGAGATTTATTTCTAACAGTTTGGCAGTCCGGGAAGTCCAAGATCAAGGAGCTTGCATCTAGCAAGGGCCTTTTTGCTATTCCATCTCATGGTGGAAGGTGAAGGGCCAGAGAGTGCAATAACAGCATTACTCCATTCATGAGGGCAGAACCCTCATGAACTAACCACCTCTTAGAGGTCCTACTTCTTGATACTGTTACATTGGGAATCAAGTTTCCAACACATGAACTTTGGGGAACACATTCAAATCATAGCACTGTGGGAAAGCAAATCAGAGACACAGAAGGAAGCAACAATAAAAACGTAGATTTTACAAAAATCGATAGTAATAATGTGTCAAGAATTTAGGAATATGATTGCCTTAATTCTTCAAGATTAAACTTCAAGATTAAATTTTCAACTTAAGATTCCAAGACTCAAAGGAAAAGCAAGCAAAAAAAAAAAAGAAGAAGAAAAAGACAACATATGAAGGCATCTTTTTCTATTTCACATCACATCATCACTTTAGTTACTTTGTAATGAATGTACACTGAAATATTCGATAATATGATCATGTAGTTTCAGTTCTTCCTGTTGAAAAAAGTGAGAAACTGATCAAAATTAAATTCAAAACTGCAATTGTATAGAGCAGGCCTTGCATGTTCCATGCAGATAGAATAGAGGGATACAAAATGAATTTATGTATTGGGGGGTGAGCATTAACTACTTCTATAATTATGGTGTCTTTAGTGTGGAGACACCTTTTCAAAGTGAATTACATAAATGATTGCCCCCTCATCTATGCAAGTGTCTCAGTTACTCCCAGAAAAATGAAAACCTATTACCAAAATCATTTAAAAAAGTAGGCTCATAGTCTTACCACTATAATTCATGAAAATTCTTCCAAATAAAGGTAAGTCTTTCTTGGGATGATTGCTCAGAGTCTGCTTATTTTTATTGTGAACATGAATATATTAATAATTCAGAATATACAGTTTTCTGGACTGTTTGGGAAAAACTAGGTATGCCACACACATTCAGTAAAGACATTTTAAAAGGTTGGGTCATTTTGATCACTTTTCTAAGCTACCACTGTTTTTACTGGGGTTAATAGACCCAACCACAGAGACCTTCACAACTTTGTCAAATTTGCACAATAAGCTCTTCTTAATAAGAGATAGGAGAATCCTTCTGCCCGATTGGTTGGAGGTTTGAGATTCCTGTCACCTTCCTGTAAGTTGGACATAAGTATATATTACTTATTTAGCTAGTTGCTCACACTATTCTACAGCATAAATTAATTAAAGATGCAAAAGATTAATGTTGAAAAAGGCTGATTCTGCCACAAAAAAATTCATTTCCTCTCTTTTGATTTTATATTTAAAAGTCTTTAAATGGTATAAAATACTCTTACAAAATCTTCTCTTCCTTTTCCGATGGGATCTGAGCTTAAGAGTTCTGAAATAAGGAAAGAGAAAGAAGCAGAAATGAAAACAAAAGATGCCAAGGAAACTCATTTTATGAGAGATTTCATTTAGAAGCAGCTGACCAAAATTAACAGTTCTCAAATGTTTTGGTCCCAGAGTTACTTCACATTCTTAAAATAATTATTGAAGACTCAAAAAGCTTTTGTTTATGTGGGGTATATCTACCTGAAATTAAAACTGAAAAGTTTTAAATACAAACACACTGGAATGCACAAGCACATAACATTTCATTAGCTGTCTGAGTGATGATGTCACCATGCATCATGTAGCCTCTAGAAAGCTCTACTCTCCCCTAGTGTGGAGAATGAGAGAAAAAGACAAATAATGCCCAATATTGTTAGAAAGAATGTCGACCTTGGTAACCCCCCTGGAAGTGTTTTAGGGACCCCCTAAGCAGGTCTACAGGCCATATGTTAAGATCCACATTTCGGAATGAATGAATGCCAAGTTATATTTCTTTAAGAATTATGCAGCTTTGCATGTATGAACATGCTGAACCCCATTTTTTCTCTGAAGTGATTGGGTCAGGCCAGATAGAAGCTGAAGGTAAAATCTGCTTGGGGCACCCTGTTTGTGATGGTATTTAGTCCTTCCATGCAGACAGGGAGCCCACTGCTAGGGCAACCACCCTCTCTGACCTCCTCCTTCCTCTTTTCCCTTTCACCATTTAAACCTACCTTTCATTTGCTCTATTTCTTCCTAGATTTCCTCCTATCTAAATAAATATGAGAAACTAATAGCCTTAAAATGCTCACAGATAGATGAAAATAACATATATGTACACTTTGAACTGAGAGCTCTTCAAATGACCTTAAGGAATAAACTTCTATTGATAAAAATTTCTGAGGCTAGAGATTGGTGAAAATTTCACCTGGCCAGAAATTTCACTTGGCAACAAATAATGCCAATAGCAACTACCTACAGATGCAAGAACAACCCTGAGTTGAAAGATGCCTTTATGCTCTGAAACATCTTCAAATCCAGCTCTGTGCTGGATTTGGATCCTCACTAATGTCAAAGGGAATTCCACTGAATTTACCATCAGTCTCTTATAAAAACAGAAACATCTGAAAGTAGATGGAATTCCCTCAAACCATTAAGATGCAATCTACTATGTGTTCTACACATGAAAATGTACTTCCAGCGCAATTGCAAAATTAAGACAATTTCCAAAGGTCCCAAATTTAAGGATTTAGAGAGACCCTTTTTTAGTAAGCTTTTTCCCCCTATCTTGTTTTATTTTTTTCTTCAACAAATATTAAGCACATACTATGTACCAGCCCCTGTTCTTGGTACTTTAGACCTATGATTGAATCAAATAGAGATTCACCTGCCTTGGAAGCACTTACCTTCCACGACACAATATTTAACAAGCATACAAAATAACAGCCTTCCATAGATTTCTATACCAGCTCCCCTTTGCAATCCCACAGGTTGTGCTGGCTCCCCAGATTCCACAGCAAGTCCCAGCTCATCCTGCACTAGATGCTATAGGAAATCATAATAAACAAACAAAACTTTCCTGACCCAAATGTTTTGTTCTGTTCTAAAGCACCTGATGTGTGGCCGGGCCAGGTGGCTCATGCCTGTAATCCTAGCACTCTGGGAGGCCGAGGTGGGCAGATTGCTCGAGGTCAGGAGTTCGAAACCAGACTAAGCAAGAGCGAGACCCGTCTCTACTATAAATAGAAAGAAATTAACTGGCCAACTAATATATATATAGAGAGAGAAAATTAGCCAGGCATGGTGGCACATGCCTGTAGTCCCAGCTACTTGGGAGGCTGAGGCAGGAGTTTGAGGTTGCTGTGAGCTATGCTGACGCCACGGCACTCACTCTAGCCAGGGCAACAAAGTGAGACTCTGTCTCAAAAAAAAAAAAGAAGAAGAAAATAAATAAATAAATAAAGCACCTGATGTGGGGAGAGAAGTGGGTCATATTGCAATGAGCACAACATTGGAGGGCAAAAGCTTCCTGGATTCTAGTATGGTTTTCACCATATCATAGTACTATTAATGCCTTACTGCAAGGCTTCTCGCCTTTGGCAGTATTGATATTCTGGGCAATTCATTGTTGTGGGGGCTGTGCATTGACTTTCGGACAGTGAGCAGCATCCCTGACCTCTACCCACCAAATGCCAGTAGCACACTTTTCCCCAGTTGTGACATCCAGACATGTCTCCAGACATTGCCAAATGTCACCTGGGGGTCAAAATCACCCCTAGTTGAGGACCAATGTGTTGGTGAGATAGTTCTACTTTTCCTCTTTTGAAAAATTGAGACATATAATATCAATGTCAAAGTGTGGTTAAAAAGATTAAATGAGTTTATACATTTTAAACTCTTCTACATATATTTATTAATATTGGCAAATTCATTTGTAACAAATGGGTTTTTCCTTTATATAACCACTTTCTTGGGGTTTTTCTAACTTATCTAGTCATAGACACTAATTAAATATTTCATCGAATATATATAGTTACAATTTGATCTCTTTTTTTTTTTTAACAAAATAAGGGAAATATTCTTGATCCGTGCCTTTCTACCAGGAATAGAGGCACATTTGCCATTCGATTTAACAGTCATCCCTCTGATTACAGAACAATATTTGATTCAAAAATTCATATTCGCTTTTAGAAACCCTCACAGGGTAGACAACTGCCACTACACTTGACAGCGCCTTTTAAATTTCTGCAGCTCTCCCCCTAATCTGCATTACAATTCAGCGGAGGATGATGTACCATAGGGAGAAATGGTCTGGACAAGCTTCTGATTAGCAGGAGGTTCCAAACAGCAATGTCTCTGCCAGACAAATGTCAGCAGAATCCAACCTCCCAACCTTGTTGCAACTGCTCGCAGGAGCTGCCCAACCACGGTCCTTTGACATGCCCCTCATTAGTTAAGATTTCATACAAAGACTGTTCAATAATAAATCCATTTTTTTCCAGAGGTCAATATGTATTGGCCCTCCCAAAACCACCCTGGCATAAATCCCAGGACATAATTTATTGCCTAATAAGCAAGTAAGCTTTTCAATTATTTCCTCTCTCCCAAATCCCACTCTCTATGATTTGACTGTCTTGCTGCCAACTCCCAGAAACCTAAGGCTAGGTGGGAAGGGAAGGGGGGCTTCTTAAAGAAGCAGTCGATGCTGCACAAAAAATTTGGGAGAAAACAGAAGCACCTCTACCTGATCTAATTGTGGCCACTGACTGATTTGCACTGCATTATTCTAACTCCTCTTTCCAAAAGTTGGAGTCTGTGTGCATGGTTTCTTATTAACAGTAGTCTTTTCATTCCTACTCCCCACTTTTATTTTGCACAGAAATACCCCCATTTAATTCCACCCACAGGCCTCAGGCTTGCTAACCTGGAAAACTTCCTGAGTTAAACAAGAAGCATTAGCTTTTCCTGGCTAAAGCAAAGGGGCAGCTCAGAAAAAAAGTCATCTTTGATCCTCTGCATAGGGGTCTCACCTATTTGCTTTCCCCTGTCTTCTCTCTTCCCAGATCTCTCTCATGCCTGCGAGAACTGTAGTCCTTTCTCTCATTCCTGATGCTTGACATTCAGGTACATCCAGACACCTGTTTTTCATCAGTACTTCAAGTCATCATCACTGGCGTTCATCCTTCACCTGATGTCATTGACAGTGTGGTGTCACAACACCTGAGACAGCAGGTAATGCTGAAATAGACTACATTTGACAAGATAACATAGCTTCTGGACTTTTGGACAATTATAGGCCCAAAGAATTACATGTGAGGAGAAAAATAACCCCTACATCTATACAAGTAATCCTTTCAAAAGTAAGCTGCTTCACAAATATTTTCCTTCTAGTATTTTCTTAACTTTAATAGCTACTGAAAGCCACTAGAGAAAGAAGGCTGGAGAATGTGGGAGAATTTCTAGTTTAATAAATTGTTATCCATATTTTTCCTAAATAATCTAGTTCTGGAAGTGATGACAGATTTGTATTGGTTCATCAATACTCTCTTCCCTCCACAACCTCACCCAATGCCCTGCTTGAAGTCATTGGCTGGCATGTAACATCTACCTATAAATACAATCGAGTTTAACCTATCACATTTAGGTCAAATCTGAATTTGATTACAATACCACCAAGTCTAAAGGCTTAAAAGATAGAACCAGTTTGTCCTCATATGGGACTGAGAGAGTTCTGTGATAAGTTAATAAGATCATTTAGGTCAATAGATCTAGCCAAATGTATCTATAGCTATATCCATATACAATATTTGAGTATTTGGGTTACTATGGAAATTTGATAGAAAAAGATGTGTAAGGGAGGACAATGGAAGAACTCTTTCGATAATCAGCAGAGCAAAAGGAAAAGGTAAGGACAGAAAAACTACTTTCTTCTGTCTTCTGGATACCAAATAAAAATGGTAACCTCTGAGGGGTGAATTTGTGACATCCAAGGTAACAAAATTCAGAAAGAAAGAGAGGATTCCCAGGCTAACACTAGGAGAATGATGAGAGATTGTCTGAGCACTGACTGTGGGGTTGAAGTAGGCTGTCTAATAAGAGATCTTACTGGGTGTTGCTCATTAGCTTTGTAGGATAAACTTTTCCCTAGGCTCTGGCCCTTAGCCAGGTTTTTTATTTTGTCAGGACATGATGAGTAGGTCCATCTCTCGTGGCCAGATTATTATTAACAAGTTTACGAAGAGCATATATAAACCCAGAATTGGATAATAATGCATTAGATAATAACAATATGTTATTATTCTGTTGTGTTATTATTCTGTGTAAAGTGTTTGAATCGTGGCAACTTGGCTAAGTTGGAGCTACATTTCCCATAATCGCCTTCCACGTGGGCCAGAAGAACCTTTTTCACGAGTTTTGGAAGATAGATTTGAAGCAGCAGCCATATTGAGTTTATGCTCAGCTGCATGCTGGGGCACCAGACACTATTCCAGCTCATGTTGATTGACACTTCAACTGACACTGGATTGACATGAAGCAACAGCTAGTCCCAAAGCTGCTCCATTTCCTTTCAATTGCCCTTTAGGCTGTCTGTCTCCTTTGCCCCAACGTGTGTTTAGCTCTATAAAAAAGGGCATGAATTTTTGTTTGTTTGTTTCGCAGGGCACCAACGCCACCAAAGTTGGAGGCAGGGCAGTGTGAGACCTTGGTTCCAATGCATCCCCATGGAGTCCAGCTTGTGCCGATGCGTTCCAGTTTCCTTGGCTCTCCCCACTCCATTACTGTCTTCTCTTCTTGCCTACCTGTCCTGCAGACTGTAAGCTCCAGAAAAGACAACAACCATGCAGAGGCTATGTAATCATATTACAAATTACAAAGGCTATGCATTTCACAATTGCATAAGGTACAAACTCTATAAAAAAAATCTTTGGGGTTCTATTTCTCTGACCCTATCCTGACTGTTAAAAAATAAACTAGGTAAAAAATAAATATCATGCATCCTGAGTTCTTCAAGCCTATGTGATCAGCATATTCCTTCCCTATAGAGAATGAAATAATTTGCTTAGGAAACTTGGAAACAGAACAGAAGGTTAATCAGATGAATGAAATTATTAATGTAAAATAAATGTCTTCATATAGGACCTTCTAGCCAGTTGAGGAAGTTTACTAAAAATTCTATTATCTAAGACTCTATTCTCTGAACTAAGTTAGTATAATAGACCTTTCCAAGGTGTGCCTGTGTGCCCTTTTCAATACTTCCAAGAGTGACCAATCTCTGATTAAGACTTTTTTTTTAGATGAATTAATCATTCATAGTTCAATCTATTTTTTTTCTGGTCAGCATAACGTGACTTTGCATATCTAGTTTCAGATCCATTATGATTCAAATACTGATGAAAAATACAAAAGTCCAAATCTCCCCACAGTTGAAATTCTTTTCTGCAAGTTACAGATACATTTAGCTTCTCAAGCAGCCTCTTTTATGAAGCAAATACCCCCATGGAGGCTAGCAGACTTTCTCATCTTAGCATAAATTAGCTCCATCTGTTTGTTTTCTTCTTGCTGTGGTCAGCTGTGCTGAAAGAACTGGTGTTTTAACAAAGGGTTGGAAAGGAAGAAAATTATCTTAGAATGCAGGATCTTTGAGGGAAGAGGAATCAGTTGGGTCATCACAGGATAAAGTAGACAGACACAGGCAGGATAATCATTCAGGTCTTCTGAGGAAAGATAGAGAGTGAAAACTCTGAAGAAACTTTTTCTGATTCCAAATCCTGAAATCATAAGTACTTCAGTAGACAATTTAGACTCAGCCATAGATTCTCCCATATCTCAGACCTTCACTGAGAAAATTAGACGGTGAGTTGTAGTTCAAAAGCCAAGCATATGAGCAGCTCTCTCCCAAGTCAGTCAGTCATCAATGCCATCTCCATGTAAGATTCTCATTAGATGTTCTTTTAAAAGCTTTGGAACAAATGTGTGGCTATAATAAATCTTGAAAATTCAAGATAATCAAGCTGCAAGCAGTAATTATTGAAAAAATTAAAAGAATCATTGTTTTTGTTGTTGTTAACTTGAATACAACCTCCAAATTAAATGCCAAATGGAAAGTTCTCCTCTCATCAGAACTCCAAATATTGGAGTTTATCTGATTCTTAATATTTTCATAAAATAAATTGGGGAGGATTCCCTCCTTTTCAATATTATGAAATAATTTTTGCAGTATGGGTACCAGCTCTTCTTTTTAGGTCTGGTAAATTTTGGCCATGAATCCATCTGATCCAGGGCTTTTTTGTTGTTAGAAGATTTTTTTTATTATTGCTTTAATCTTGTTGCTCATTGTTGGTCTGTTCATGAGTTCTGTTTCTTCCTGATTGAGTCTTGGAAGGTTCTGTGTTTTCAGGAATTTTTCCATTTCCTCTATGTTTTCAAGTTTATATGCATAGAGATTTTTATAATATTGAGAAATGATATTTCCTGTTTCTGTGGTATCAGTTGTAATACTCCTTTTATATTTCTAATTGAGCTTACTTGGTTCCTTTCTCTTCTATTCCTGATTAATCTAGCAAGAGGTCTATCAATTTTGTTTTTCTTTTCAAAGAAACAAATTTTTGTTTCATTGATCCTTTGCATTGATTTTTTGTTTTCCAATTCATTTAGTTCTGCTCTGAACTTAATTATTTCTTTTCTTCTGCTGACTTTGGGTTTGATTTGCTCTTCCTTTACTAGTTCCTTGAGATGTGTCATTAGATTGCTATTTTGTCATCTTTCTGTCTTTTGATGTAGGCATTTAAGGATATGAATGTTCCCCTTAGGACCACTTTTGTTGGATCCCATAGACTACAGTAGCTGTGTTTCCTTTGTTGTTCAGTTGGAAGAATCTTTTGATTTCCATCTTAATTTCATTATTGAGACAGTATCACCTTGATACCAAAGCCAGGAAAGGACACAACAAAAAAGGAAAACTACAGACTAATATCTTTTATGAAGGTAAATGCAAAAATTGTCAACAAAATACTAGCAAACCGAACTCAATAGAACTTCAAAAAAATAATACACCATGCCAAAGAGGGCTTCAGACCAGGGATGCAAGGATGGTTCAACAGATGGAAATCAATATATGTGATTAACCACATAAACAGAAGCAAAAAGCAAAGACCATATTATCATCTCAATAGATGCAGAAAAAGCATTCGACAAAGTTTTGCACATTTTCATGATAAAAACCCCCAACAAAGTCGGCATAGGAGGAATATGTTATAAAAGACACATATGACAAACCCACAGCCAACATCATACTGAATCAAAATACCAATGTCAATTTTCAAAGATCTAGAAAAAATAATTCTATGCATTGTTTGGAACCAAAAAAGAGCCCAAATAGCCAAAGCAACCTCCAGCAAAAGGAACAAATCTAGAGACACCACTTTACCAGACTTTAAGCTATACTACAAGGCTAAGGGAAGCAAAATAGCATGGTACTGGCACAAAAATAGGGACATAGACCAATGGAACAGAACAGGGAACCTAGATATAAAACCATCCTCATATTGCCATCTGATCTTTGACAAAGCAAATAGCAATATACACTGGAGAAAATAATCCATATTCAGTAAATGGTGCTTTGAAAATGGGATAGTCACATGTAGGATGGAAACAGGATCCATATATCTCACTACTCACAAAAATTAGTGCAAGATGGATAACAGATAATCTAAGACATGAAATTATAAGAATTCTAGAAGAAAATGTTGGGAAAACTCTTCTAGATATCATCCTAGGCAAAGAATTTATGAAGAAGACCCCAAGGGGAATCACAGCAACAATAGAAATAAATAAATGGGACTTTATTAAATTAAAAAGCTTCTGCACAGCTACGGAAATAATCAACAGAACAAATTAGGCAAAAACATGAACAGAAGATTTTCAAAAGAAGATAGACAAATAGCCAATAAACATGAAAAAATGCTCCCAATGTCACTAATTATTAATATTAGAGAAACACAAATTAAAACAATAAGATATCACCTTACCCTGGTTAAAATGGCTTTTATTAAAAAATACAAAAACAGTGGATGCAGAGAGAAAGGAATGCTTATACACTGTTGGTGAGACTGCAAATAAGTACAACCTCTATGGAAAACAGTATGGAGATTCCTCAGAGAACTAAGTAGACCTACCATTTGATTCAACGATCCTACTACTGGATATTTACCCAAAGGAAAAAAAGTCCTTTTATCTAAAGGATACCTGCACTCAAATGTTTATTGCAGCACAATTCACAATTGCAAAGATGTGGAATCAACCCAAGTGTCCATCAATTTATAAGTGGATTAACACAATGTGGTATATGTATACTATGGAATACTACTTAGCTATGAATAACGATGAATTACAGCCTTTTTCAACAATTTGAATGGAACTGGAGACCATTCTTGTAAGTGAATATCTACCTAATGGAAAAACAAACATGACATGTACTCACTATTAAACTGGAGCTAACTGATGAACACATATGTGCACAGAAGGAAGTAAAATTCAGTGGCAATCAAGCAGAGGGAGATGGGGGTGGAGGGGATGGGCGAAAACCTATCTAACACGTACAATGGACACTATCTGGGTGATGGGCACACTTATAACACTGACTCAAGCATAAGAAAATCAATACATGTAACCAAAAACATTTGCACCCCCATAATTTTTTGAAATAAAAATAAATAAATAAAATGTACAAAAGTCCTAAAAATATAGTATTTTCAACCTTGAGAAAAGCCTAGAATTATTGGAATAAAAATGAAAGAGTGAATATAACCTTATTTTATAAAATTTCACTTTCAAGCAGACTTTATGAAGCATTTTATTTTGTATAGAAATTTTGAAATAGCCTAAAGGCTTTCTTTGACCAGCTGTATATTCTATCTGTTAAATGTCCTCAGAGTGAAAAGATTCCCTCAGCAGAGGCACCTGCAGGATGTGCAACGATTCATTTTTACTCGGCGTATCGGTTCTGTGGAAGCATCAGCTCTACTGGCTCATCATTTACATTCACAATGGACATCTGGAGCCAGCAAAATGAAACATTAGACTTGTTTGTGTTGTCAAATTAAAAAGGAAAAAGAGAATGGTTTAAAGTTCTGAGAGTCTGTGTAACATTTAATTATGCTTTCGACTGCAGTCCAATCAAAAATATGCTTTTGCAGGAAAATGGGCACTAAGAAAAAACATGCTTTGCTATTCAGATTGTTGTTAGGTCAACCTCCCAATTCACGAGCTCAGAGAAAAGCAGCCACCACAGCCGATACAGAGTTCCTCTGAGGAAGCAAAAGAGGTCCACCAATAATCTTGACAGGGCTCTTTCCTCCACACTCCCATGAAATGTTATTATCTCTCCTTTCCTGACTGAGGAACGAGAGACTGTCAAGCTAACTATGTTTGATAAGTGAACTAGATCTGCAAGTTTGTGCTGTCAATAAACCTACATGCCAGGTCTCATAGCATAAATTCAAATTCAATACACATGACCATGTACATAGTTGAAAAAGGAATGTTATACATCTCAAAGAATAATATTTTGATGATTGTTACGGAAATTTTGTTTTCTTTTAGAACTTTCTAAAGAGAATTTTAGTAATTTTCAAAATCACTGCTCAGAAAGAAAAACACCTTGCTGTAAAAAATAATGGGGGCAGTAATAACAACTAATGACCTTTATGCTGAGTAACACTAGTGAGATTGTTTCAGACATTCGGCCATTTCTAGCCTGCTTTAATTGGATTCAAATTAATTCAATCACCTGTCTGCTGAGGATCTCACAAGAAAGACTTTAATAGGTAGATGATGGCTTTGGTGAAAAGAGTGTTATTCTAGTTTATCCAACCATCACATAAACATTTATTGAGTTTCTACTGTTTATTGCACCATATTAAATAACAGGGGAAATTCAAAATGGAACTTACAACCCAGCTAGAAAGAATACAATGAATAGAAACAACAAGAGAATTTCTTAACGCTCATATTTCACAGAGAAGTTGTATACAAAGTGAATTTTAATTAATGATATCCCTACTTCTAACTCTCACACTCTCTCTCCACACACACGCACACATATACACACATACACACACACACACACACACACACACACACACACAAATCATATATGGATCCAATGGGACAATTTTAAAAATTACCTGAAAGAAAATTACACTTTAAAAATAAACTCCTCAAAAGGTCAGGTGTTGAAAGAAAATTGAAACAAATTAATAACCCATGAGGCTCGATACCAAATTTCCAAGATTAGTATAAGAGAATATATGAACACTATGCAAAACTTTGTTACATTATAATTGCCATATGATGCTTATATTTAAACAATTATTAAAAATACTATACTTTTGAATAAATCTGTCATTGTCCTGAGTGAATATACTTCTGAATTTACATTTAATCCTAAATTCTTTCAACATTATACCAGACCTCATTTTTTAAGAGTTGAAGATTATTTGTTTTTGGTTTTTACATTTCTGCAAACATTATAATTCATGTCACCTGATAACACCTCTGTGAAGCACCATGTATTTTTATTTAGCAAATGACATGGGGTTGGCACAATGTTCAGGCTTGAAAATCTGTTCCTCACTTATTCATATTTTTTGATATACTAACAACTAGTCCATATTTTTTTTTAATTCAGAAGAGTATTTCGATTCTATTCTTAAAAGTGTTTTTTCTTAAGTTTTGCTCCCTGTACAATATGGAGATGTTAAAATAACTGGATGTCTTTGCCAAAGTAGGATATTGCTTGTGGTTAACCTGCTCATGCCTAAATGTCAACCGTCAGCGTAAGGGCCTTATCAGGTGATGGCTGTAGTGGGTTACGGGAGGCTTCTCCTCCGTACAGCGGCACTCCTGCCAAGCAGATGCAGTGATCACCCTAACCTGGTGGTTTGCCACCCAGGAAGGTCAAGCAGATGTCCTGGCAAGAAAACAGGTTTGAAAGCCTAAATATATCACGAAAAATTATTGCTTTATATCTTCCTATGGTTATAACCCCCAAGTGGTTATATCATGGAGCATAGATTGCATTTCTCCACCCTTTCCTTATAACTTCTCATTAGCAGGATGGAAGCAGCAACTGTAAAGCTGGAGCTTACTTCTCTCCTCTGGCTCAAAGTTTTGTTCTCAAACTTCTGACCACATAGGAATCACCTGGAAGGCCTGCTGGGCCCCATCTCCAGAGTTCCCGATATGGGGGTCTGGGGGGAGCCTGGGAGTTTGCATTTCTAATGGGTTTCCTGGTGCTGCTGCTGCTGCTGCTGCTGCTGCTGCTGCTGCCTTAAGCATCAGGCTTTGGGAACCACTGCTGGCGCCATGGCTTTTCTGCTTAGGCTAAGGTCATACAGAATCCAACTGTCACTTTAAGTCACAAAACGGTCTCAATACAGATATTAAAAGTGTCCAGGCCAAGACATTAATCTCAGTTCAATATAAGAGCTCTCCAGTGTTCCCTCATTAGAGCTGTGCACACTGGTGGGCTGGGTGCCTTCTGGGAAGCGGGTGTCCTCAGCCTCTGCTCTCTCCCTCCACTCATTTCCTCGCCCACTTGCAAACTGTTGGTACACACGCTACCAGCAGAGGAAGGGCCATGAAGAAGGAAAAAAATAAGGGAAATAAGATTAGAAAGTTCTTAGTTGGCTGCTGCCTGTCACTGTCCTAGCTGGCTCTGTGTCTGGCAGATGTGGAGAGCAAACTCCGTTTCCCAGGCTCTTTTGTGGCTCCTTTTGGAGCCCCCAACCTGTCTAACCAAAGCCCCAGTGACATGGCGATGTCTTTGTCAACTGGTGGCTGTTCTCTAGGCCTCTGCTTCTCTAAAAATCCACTCAACTCAGATTCTTACAATGAGAAAACGCTCACCCTCCCTGAGGGTTCCCTTGGACGGCTTTTGATATAGTTCCAGGCCAAGTCTCTCTCCAGATCCAAGCCAGGGAAAATGCTCACACATTCCTTGCTCTGGCATCAATGGGGATGCTGTCACTTCCCAAATGCAGCTCTCTTTGGGCACATTCTCACTCTCTAGTATAGGCCATGCTGACTTCTCAGGCCCCAGTGCGAAGTATATGCCACCTGTAAAGAACACGTCAGGTCATCTTGTGATCCTGAGGAAAGGCCAAGAAATACGTGGAGACTTCAGCCTGAAATGAGAAATCATCGCTAGTATCTGACCACTGCTGTCTTCTTGTTACATGTGACAAATAAGCCCCTATTTGTTTATGCCACTGTTAAGGTTTATGTCATAGCCAAATAAATTCCCAGCCAATAAGGGAAGGAATATATTTAAGGTGAATTGTCGTGTCTTTTTGCCGAGGGCCAATCTTGTTTACAAATAGATTTACCGCATCTCAAATCTGCTAGGAATCTCTAGGTTTTCTTTAGGGTTCACTCCACTGCAGTTTGTGTCCCAAAGAACATGGGTTGATAATTCCCTCTCTGCCACTGATTGTGTAGCCTTGGGAAAAACACTTAACCTCTCTGTGCCTCAGTTTCCTCATCTGTAAAATGCGGATAACAGCACCTGATTGTGAGGAATTTTTTTAGAAAAGCTAAATAAAGTTCCTAGAATACACACACACACACACACAAGAATACATATCAGATTTTCTAGTTGGTTCTGTGGAGCCTCCTCCTTACCAGAGCTCAAAATGAGGGAATAATCTTATTCCTAGTGCCCCTCAGCAGTGATAGGATAGGGCAGGTTTCAAAGCACGACTTTCTCTTAAAAAGCCCTTGCCACTAAAACAATCTTCAACATTCTTCATTCACTTCTTTCTTTCACTTTCTTCCTACATGGTCAGAGCCTTCCTACCTGCTATCATTCCCTTTGAAAGTCTGCATTTTGGTCTAGCATTTCACTAGAAATTTCCTGTCTTTTTTCTCTTCCAGGTGCCTCAGCAAAACTCTCTATTTTAACTTCACGTCACAATCAGAATCTTGTGTCTTCTTGAACCAACCCAGATACAATGCCCAACACCAAGACTTTGTGTTCTCTGGCTGGAGCCAATTCACTTATGTAAATGTCTTGGTGAACAGTGTAGATTTGAATATGTTACAAGGATAAATGAAGAGCCATATATCAGATCCACCCCTGTGCATCCCATGATAGCCTCCTTCAGCCATTTCCCTTCCCCAAAGTCCCTGTCAACTGAGAGCCCTGTCTCTAATTCCTCTATAATTCTGGCTTCAACATCTCTTTCCCTCCTTCAACCCTACAGATTCCCCCATGGCAACGGCAGCTCCCTCTCTCTGCACTGTTATGCAGAGTAATTTTCTTCAGGCAACCTGGGGCTAGCAGACACCAGGTTCTTGGAGGTTCCGCTTCTTCCTTTGCTCAATAAGATTGATTAGGAGCCCCTACATGTTTCCTATTTTTACTCCTTATTGTTGTAACTACAATATCTCATGTAGCCAAAAGGAAAAATGCTGTAAGTAAAATATTAGGAAAGTTAAGATTATAGATGATGAAGTTGGGATGCAGAGCCCTTAAGCTACCAGACTAATTTCATGAAGCGGAGAAATGGTTAAATGTACTTCTGGGGTTTCAAGTTGCATTTACTTATGAAACAATGAATTCCATGCCAGTATGCCTTACCCATGGCCCCCCTTCCTATTTACCCAGGTGTGTCCTGACCAGCTGGTGCCAGAGACAGAAATGGGTACAAACAGATAAGCCTGGCCCAGGAACAGGGAAGGCTTAGTTTCAACCTACCAGAATCAGCACTCCAAAAAAAAATGGCATTGCTTTGTAGCCAGCAGCTGCTATCATCAACTGTACTGGCCACCATTTTAAAAGATTGATTTCAAATTGCTTGCTTTAAATTTCCACCAATTATCTCAGACTGACACAGGTTTGTAGCATATTGAAATGAGAGGGGGCAGCTGTCCTCTCCTGTGGAGGAACAAGGGATTTACTTCTGATGCTGCTATTAGCATTAATGGGAGTTGTGAATTTACCTTGTCTCCTTTCAGTGGGAGGAGAGAGCTGGCTGGATGATGAATGCAGATAAGATTATTCTATTCAAAGCCTTCCTTGCAATTTCTATTAGTAGCCATGGTTTATCTCCTTGTATGTCTTTATGAACCAAATTTTGCTCAAAAGTCATAATGCTTTAGATTATCAGCTGTATCAGGTAATGTCACCAATGATAAGTGCCTGCTGTTAAAATAAATGCTGTGCTCTGTTCTGCATCTCAACTTGTTTTTAATGCAGACTCCTAGGGGCATGTGCAACAGTGGGAATCCATTTATCGGCACAAAACAGCCTCTTGTTTACACAAGATCACTTGGTAATCATGCAGCCTGTGTACCAGAAGTCAAGAAAAATAATAAGTGTGGCTCAATCTGCAAGGCTAAAACAAGGCGGCTGTCTTTTGACAATCAAGCACTATTTATGAAGATTAATGTGGCTTTTGATAAACTGCCAAGCAACCACAGAGGCCACATTTAGAACAAGGCCCACTGAAGCCCTTTTGGGCTCTTCATTTTCATAAAGACTCTTCACAGGGCATGTTGAGCAATTTCTTAATAATTGGAAATCAAATGTATTAAAAGCAAGCCTAGCTAAGTGTTCTCCCTGAAAGCCTAAGTAATCTCATTTATCCTCTTTTTCATATCATAGAAATCATAGAAAAGATAAAGATACCTTTTTTTTACTATAAATCTCAATGTCCCTAAATGTTTGCACAGTTTTTCTGAATTTAAATATATGCTCCAGGTAATCTTTTGCATGGCATGGCTTGAGAAAGGCTACAAAGCCCTGTCAACTCCAAAATTTTCTGTTCACCTTCTTGTCTGGATATAATAGGATTAAAGTAATATTTTCAAGCTAAGCATTGAGAGACAGTCCTACATGTGTCTCTCGTGCTTCCACACATCCTCTGGGGTGTACCAGAACTGAAAGGCCATTACTGATCTTTACACTGGGCCTTTTATCAGGGTTGTGTTGCATTGAGCAACCTAGAGAAACAAGGTTACCTCTCTCCCCACATAAAGGGCAGATTTGCTTACTACTTGATATTATACAAGTATTGAATTCCCCCAAGTTAATATTCTTTGGATATAATGCAATCTCACTGCATGTGAAGCATCCATGTGCCCTCCATCACATGGGACTTGGAGCAAGGGGAATTGATGAAAACATACTGAAAATCATGCTGCTTGCTGTGTCATACGTATTAAAGTCCTTTGTCTCTGACAAAGTAGTCTCATGTCTTCTACCAGCATCCATGAAACAATAAACTAGTTTATTAGCTTGTAAGTAGGGCCAAATCAAATTCCAGGCTTGACACTATGATGTATTATCTGTGCATGATATAGATACCAGAAAAACATTGATAAAATAAGAAAAGAAAACCCTTTCCATCAACAAATTAACATTGAATTCTTTCTCTTTCTCTTTCCATCTTTCCTTCCTTTTCCTTCCTTCCTTTCCTTCCTTTTTTTTTTCTTTTCTTTCCTTTATTTTCCTTTGTCTCCTTCCACTCTCAGTTTATGTGGCTCAGGTGGGTCAAACTCCTTTTCTTCTCAACTCCAGAACTAGAAATACGGCCAGCCTGGCTATGTGGAGCATTCCATCCTCCTGTTCACAGCAATTGGTTCCGGAATGTGGCTCAGCTAAGTATTAATAAAAGAGTCTCAGAGTATTGAACACCAACTACAAACAGGGATTGGTCTAGCAGCTGCAAATATATTTGGAAGCAAAACAAAAAAGATTCTTTTTTGGAGAAATTTATATACAAGTGGAATTTTTCTGTACTATCAGGAAAAAGCTGCTGTCCTTAAGCTATGGTTGCTAAACTGGCACAATATAAAACTAAAGCTGTAGTGACCAGCCTTGTCTTCTCACTGTGAGATCCTATTCAATAATAAACTCACCTCAGAGGAAGGTAGATGACAAGACTGATCCCTGATGATCAATTTTTATTTATTTTTTAATTGACAAACAAAAATTGTATGTATTTGTGTCGTATGTGATGTTTTGAAATATGTATACATTGTGGAATGGCTCAATTGAGCTAATTAACACATGCATTACCTCACATACTTACAGTTTTTTTGTGGTGAGAACACTAAATCCACTAATAGATCTTCAAGTATATAATACATTATTATTAATCATAGTCACCTTGTTGTATTATCAATCTCTTGCCTTTATTTCTCCAATCTAACTGAAATGTTGCCTTGATGATCCCTATGAGTAGCTCTATGTAGTCATGCATGCATGAAGCCAATATACCCCTGGATATTTCAGTCACATAAGCAGTCACATGACCATTTTTAAGTCAAGCTATTTTGTTAATACATTGTGTTTTTGTCACTTTAAACCAAGAGCCCTAATAATACTGGAATTAAGTAAACTGGGATAATATTGCATACTATACTGAAGAATACTAATGTTGTTTAGCATATTAAAGCCATGAGAAATCCTGCTGTAAAAAAGAAAAAAAACAACTGTTTAATTTTGTTTTACTTGGTATTTCTCACACTACTTCTCATTTTCCATGGAACTTTTCACTTTGTTTTAGTAGCACCTATCAATTTCTTACAAACCCAGTGCTCTATGCACCTTACTTGAAGAATGTTAGAATATTCTTTTTCCTGAAAATTCATTTTAAACTTGTAAATCATAGAATCAAACAGAATAAACAGAAAATGAGTGCACACATGAAAGCTTTCATCTATATGATCTTGTACTTATTCCACAAGCATTTAATGAGAACCTACTATGTATCAGACACAGGAGAGGGCACTGAATACATAAACTCGGAAGAGAAATCAGAGCAGAGCACATTACAAAAAATCAATGCCCTTCCCCTGACAACAGAAACATTCTACATGTCTAAAAATAATGCAATGTTTTATTTCCATCAAAAAATTTCATGTTAAACTCTATCATACTAAGGCCATTAAAACATTGAAAAGTCAATCAGCTTTCTTGAGTTTTGTTATGAATTGCAAAGCAAATTCCTTAGATTATATATAGTCCCAATCTCTCAGAAGACAGATGGAATAGCTGATATATTTAATCTAGTTAGAACATGAGAATAATGTCACTTTTGGAATAGGAAACC